AAAGCAGTGCTGTTTTATCATACTAGATACATTTGAAAGTTCTGTTATAATGCTACTCTGTGCCGTCGTCACCGGTCTATTAAAACGCACAACATATTAAAGCGTCTTTGGTGTTTCCATGTTTTCTACAAAACAAAACCGGAAATCGAGGGGTTATGACGCCATTGGCAGGCGACACAAAATATATAATACTGGCTGCATCCGAAAACTCTAAAATGCTGCCTTCAGGGGCAGCATTCCAAGGCAGGAAGCCATCAAGGCACGTCCAAATACAAATTCTGCTTCACTTCCTGTCTCTGGAGGTACCTTCTTCTGATCGAATTTTGAAGGCAGCATAGATGTATCTTTCGCTGCCTTTGATATCCCACAATCCTGTGCGTTCCATTCCGTGACAGTTGAGCTAAAAAATAAAGATGGCGTCTGAAAGTTGGGTTTGGTGGTCAGTTTGTGTGTAAATGTTATCACAAAAACTCATTCGATTTTGTTGTAGATCATTAAACCGTTATGCTGCCTCAGAAGCCTGTCCGAAATCAGTTTCATGAGGTGCCTTCGTGCAAAAACACTGCCTGCAAAGTCATTGCCTCGTACGGCAGCGAGGCAGCAAGTCAGCTGCCTAAGTTTTCGGATGCAGAGTTCTAGTGGTTTTTGGATATTTTAATTTAAAAAATCTTACATATTGTGCCTTTAAGTGTGGGCTATGTTTTACTATCTGTGTTAATTTCTTAGAATGGTTCTTCAATAAAAACTTGTATTGGCATACATGTGAAGTAGTGCTTGTTTATTCATTTTAATCAGTTTAACTTGGCTTAGGAAACATGTACTGCCAGGCTGTACTTGTGTTAACGCTGAGATCAGGGGCCTCATTTATAAAATGTGCGTACGCACAGACTTGATCTTAGAGTGTGCGTACACTAAAATGCACGGCAACGTTCATATTTATAAAAACGGTCTTTGACGTGGAAAAGTACGGAGTGTAATCAGATTTTTCATTAACGGGAGTTTTTGCGAGATTAAACTGACCTTTTTAGTAGCCTAATGTTGAGAGTTCTTTACTCGCTTTCTGTACACAGTTTATTCCATGTTGTTTTTTTATTATTATTTTATTTTACAAGAGAACTTGCGAAGTCTTGATTTACTTCTAATGCGTAAAATAGGAAAAAATGCATAAACGCATCTCCGACTGTTTTGTCTGTGTAGCCTATAAGAATAGGCCTATGTCGTGCAATAATGGTCTTGTTCTATTCAATAACACGTTAACTGTTTTTATTTATAACATCTGCTGCTTTGCTTCTGTGAAAATGAATAGAGACATCAGCCTTAAACTTTTTTTGCAAGAATTTCGTGATACTAAACTTTTTATTAGTTGTCATAGCAAGTGATTTTTAAAGTAGGTTGACTCACTTTTTATAAGATGACTGAAAATTTTTATTGAATTCGTAGTTTATTCTTACTTTTTGAAACCTAATTGTTTTATAATTACTATTACTATTATTATTATTATTATTATTATTATTATTTCTGTTGTTTCTAGAAGTAGTAATTTTGATAATAGTCAATAGAAAAAAATAGGCCCCAGATGCGATCGATCAGTGAGACTCGAGCGGCAGGTGCAGTGACTGGAGCGGTGAGGTCATGATGTCTGATAACGGTTGCTGATGAATGACAAGTATGCAGATGCGTGTACTGATGTCATTTTGTTTGTTCAAAATGAGCGGAGCAGTGGGCAGCCATTTTTGCTGCGGCGTTCATGGTGCCTTGCTCAAGGGGCACCTCAGTCGTGGTATCAAAGGTGGGAGAGAGCTCTGTACATTCATTTCCCCACCTACAATCCCTGCCGGTACGAGACTCGAACCCGCAACCTTTGGGTTACGAGTCCGACTCTCTAACCATTAGGCCACAACTTCACGATGTTTGAATGTAGCTTTCTTCGAAGAATCCTTGTAGTTCAGAAATGTTGTTGTTTTGTGGGGGAATCTAGTCAACTGAGTCTTCCAGTTGTTATGCAGGTTTTTAAAGTTCTTGTGTGTAGTCTCAAGGTTACACCCATGGGATATCTGATCTGATCTGATCTGATCTAAGGCATAGAGCTTCTGTTTGGTTTGAGACATTTTGTGCTTCTTGCAGTAGACGAGCCTGAGAACTGCGGCATATGGATGCTATTTATTTCCCAACAGCGATTTAAAACCTTACGTTTTCATCTTGCGTTATTAAGTTTGAGAGAGGGCAGACCAGGAGTCACACAAAAAAAAACTGAAACACGATCTCTGAGACTGAGACCCTTCTGAGTCTTCAGTAGGTAAACCACCTTAACAAAACATCATCACTATCCGAGTAATCTTTTTAAGTTAGGTAAACCTTTTTAAACCAAATTTCATTTTCATTTGCTTTCCTCTTTTTGTCAGAAGGATCATCGGTTATTTGAATTTAATTTGAACAGTGTTAAGTGAGAATTAAGTTAATTTCTTTATGTTTATTAATTTGTCTATTTTTGCTAAAAGAAATAAAGAAATGTATTTATTTACAGTATTTTTGAATAACTGTGCTCTTTCTGAGGTGTTGTGTTTTTCATTAGGGCCCAAGCCAGAAAGGCGCAGGTGATCCCCTAAGGATTATTATTTTATTTTTTTTAATTTTTTTTTCAACCTGTAAATAAAACAGATTATTGGAGTATGTTTTACAATAAAATACTTTTTTTTTAGTTTTTCTACTTAAAATATCATGTATAATTCATTGTTACATGCCATTTTATTGTGTTTATTTAATTGTGAAATTGTGAAATTTACTAAAGAAAATTGTTTCTACACCAATGTTTTTTTTTTGGTAACAGTAACACTTTACAATAAGGTTCATTAGTTAACATTAGTTAACTACTTTAGTTAACATGAACTAAGAATGAACAATACTTCTACAACATTTATCAATCTTAGTTCATGTTAATTTCAACATTTACTAATGCATTATTAAAATCAAAAGTTGTGCTTGTTATCATCAGTGAATGCACTGTGAACTAACATGAAATAAAAATGAACGACTGTACTTTCATGAACTAACATTAACAAAGATTAATAAATACCGTAATAAATATATTGTTCATTGTTCATTCATGTTAGTTAATACATTAAATAACATTAACTAATTGAACCTTATTGTAAAGAGTTACCTTTTTTTTCTCTCGGTGCAGCTTGTGCATAACTTCCTTTTACATTAACAAGTGGTGCCATGGAGACAGAAGCTAACTCACAGGAAACATCTCCACTTACGTTGAATGTTTGCATCTGTACATTTTTCTCACTTTTTGTGTAGTACTGCTTCTCAATACCATTTTTCTTCTACATCAGGATTCTTTTCTTCTACAATCTACATCCTCCTCTTTACATGCCTATATTTTTTTATCATCCCACAGTCTGAAGCCATGTGGTGGGGCACCCTGGGGTCTGTTCGGCCTTACCCAAATTTCCGTCCCGAGAGAGATGTTACAGTCCTTCATACTGCACTGGAGAAGAAAGGTACAGTTAAATGAATGCTCATGAGGCATGATTGTGGTAGTAAAATTCAATCTGCTAGTATTCTATCATATTTCATTGTTTTCATTGCAAACTACCATAACTTTTTGTTAAAGATGTGAGCACCATTGTGAGATTATTAACCAATCGCAGTAATGCTCAGAGACGATCTCTTGCCCAGGTTTACAAGAATTTCTCACAAAAGGTAAGTGAGAAACAAATTCATCTCCAAATCATCACAATCTAATCAGTCTGTGTGTGGGGGTCAGGATGCTTTTTAGAGGCCAAATACTATAAGAAGTGACTAAGTAATATAATACATTAGTATAGTGAGCAAATGTCCCACAAGGGTAATAAAAATTAAACTCATATATAATTCCCATCAGGAAAATGGCCTAGAAAGGTTTGTGACGATTTGGTTTAGGGGATATAAAATATCATTAACTCAGTATAAAATCAATAGAAGTCAATGATTAATCCTCATCATGATGCAAAAGTGTGTGTGTGTGTGTGTGTGTGTAAGTGTGTGTGAGTGAGTGAGCAGGAGTGAGTTTGTGATAGTGAGTGTGTGAGTGTGCAAGAGTGAGTGAGAGTGTGTGTGTGTGTGTGTGTGTGTGTGTGTGTGTTTGTGAGTGAT